TGGAATGTTTAAATCAAGCTCTTCATCAGAAAAGCCCTTCACTCATCAATCAGAAAGGTGTTCTTCTTCTCCGCCCCCCAGTGGCACAGTGGTATGTCTGCGGGCTTACAATGCTAGAATCTAGGTTTCGATACCTGTGGTGGGCAGAGAACAGATAGCCCACTGTGTAGCTTTGTGCTTAATTACAAACAAACAAATCTTCTTCTCAATGACAATGCACATCCACATGTGGTACCATATTTTCCAGATATGGCACCATCAGATTACCATATTTTTCGTTCGCTGCAACACCATCTTAATGGGAAAATGTATGAAAATGTGGAAGGTGTTAAAGAGGACATCGACATGTTTTTTGCTCCAAAGCCAAGTGATTTCTTTAATTTGATTGTAAGATGGAAAAGCATCATTGATACGAATGGAGACTATTTCATTTAATAAATGTTTTGTTTTGATATATAAGTTGTTCAGGTTTCTTCATCTAAAAAAAAGCAACATTAATTTCTTCACGACCTAATAATACAACTTACCTTCTTTTCTGTACTAAGAGACTCAGTATTATTTTTGTGGAAAGAATGTTCTTCCAGATATTGAACATTTGTTGAAGATTCTACCAAAGAATCATCTGTTTCTGAAGTTTTCGCTGTGCCCTCTGAACTTTTCTCATCATCTTTCACCTCAAGATATGACCTGATTGGATCTTGATCTTCGGCATTATTACCAGTGAACTTTGAATCATTTACAGATCCATTTTCTGAAAAAATAAGAAGGCACAATAGCATTCTGTCAGACCTAAGCATACTCTACACCTTTTTATCTTTTTCTTTCATAACAATACTAGGCCTTGATACTATAATTCTTCACAATATCAATAAAAATTTCTGACATCAACAACTGGAATTATTTTGGTGTACTAATGTACACTAGCAAGATTTTATATATACTTTCAGTAAAAAATTTTTAACTAGTATGCAAAAATTACTATCTGTATCTGGAAAAAGAAGCTTCTGTTTTATAAATTATCACAAAATATAATTATATTTTCTTGAACACATTATTCTTTCCAAGTGCTATCCATATTTATTTGACAACAAACAAATCATATATGATGCTTTAAATCCTAATAAACTATGAAGAGCTAGCAGTAATCCAACTTTATTAGCTGTTTTGGTAAGATCTAATAAACTATGAAGAACTAGCAGTAATCCAGCTTTATTAGCTGTTTTGGTAAGTCCTAATAAACAATGAAGAGCTAGCAGTAATTCAGCTTTATTAGCTGTTTTGGTAAATCCTAATAAACTAAGAAGAACTAGCAGTGATCCAGCTTCATTAGCTGTTTTGGTAAATCCTAATAAACTAAATAGAACTAGCAGTAATCCAGCTATATTAGCTATTTTGATAAGTCCTAATAAACTATGCAGAACTAGCAGTAATCCAACTTTATTAGCTGTTTTGGTAAGTCCTAATAAACTATGAAGAGCTAGCAGTAATTCAGCTTCATTAGCTGTTTTGGTAAGTCCTAATAAACTATGAAGGGCTAGCAATAATCCAGCTTTATTAGCTGTTTTGGTAAATCCTAATAAACTATGAAGGGCTAGCAATAATCCAGCTTTATTAGCTGTTTTGGTAAATCCTAATAAACTATGAAGGGCTAGCAGTAATCCAGCTTTATTAGCTGTTTTGGGCAAAATGACAGTAATACTGTGCTAAAGTTCCACTAAAATTAAATGTTCTTCTGTTATTAAAATGTTCTTTCAATACTTTTGAATACAAATAATGAGAGTGTAGTATTAATTCATAAGTGAGATAATGAGTTCACTCCAAAGAATGGACAAGTGTTACTCACACCTAACTATTCTTGCTGTTGTTATTAGAATTTTCTTTAATAGGTTTATAGATATAATAATTTTTGAAATGACTGGTAACACTTCAGAATTACATGTGTACTAATAAAAATACCACCAGACATCTTTCTTGACATAAAACATAAGCAGACTTACTACTATAAGGTCATACTACTTTTATCTACGTCAGCTGCTTCGTACTCCATCAACTCACACATAGTGAATGTAGTTTCATAGAAAGTGTTTCCAAGCACTTTTTCGTTTTCATTTTATACTTTAATGCTCTACTGAAGTTTATCAAGACATACATATTCAGTGATATTAATTTCAGGTTAATTGGTCAGAGAACAACTTAGACAAAAAAAAATGTTTTTGAATCACAAGCTACATTGTCACCAGAACATCGTTTTCAAATATGTGATAAAATTTCACAATGACTTTTAAAGAGAAAACTTACAACTGTTACTCAAACATATTTTTCTAATTATATATAAAAGATGCAAAGCAACACAAACATTTTTTAGCCATTGTTCATATTCTAGTAACTACTTCAAAACATATTAGACTTTTATCTTTGTACAGTAAAATTCTATTTTGTATGGTGTAATTTTGTGTACATAGCTGCAAGTGAAATAGTTTTAAGTCTATCTTGCCATTATACAACAAAAGCTGTCAAAAGAAAACGTGATGTGCATGCGTAAACAAATCCAAATTATAATTCTGAATGATGATTTAACTGTAAAAGGCAGTTATCATTAAGCCACAGTAATTACATATTAAACAATTATTCTAATTCCGATAGTGATCTTGATTAGTTGTTAAGGCTAAAAGATAATACTTTAAGGAGAACTGCATTATAAAAATTAGGGAAAATGTTGAGTAATATGTTGAAAACTCGAGAAATAGTGAATATTTCTATTTCAACAAAATTACCATAGATTAGTTCCAAAATCACTCATGTCAAATCAAACAATGGATAATAATTTTAAATGATAGAAGCTAAGTTGTAATAAAAACTATTCAGCCACAAAAATATTTTAAACTAAAAAACCTAACCAATGAGTTAAAACTTCATAACTGTGTCATTGTTCCAGTAAAATCAACTTGACTTCAAATACTTTATGAATAGAATTCAACTATAGAAAATTCCAAAGACTACAGTAACTAAAAGTTGGTAAAAAGAAAAAAGGATCAGAAAGTTAGAGAATTCTAATGACCTACTGTAGCTCACAAAAAGAGGCAATGGCTAATAACATTATAATGCCAAAGGTACAATAAAAGGTCTTCTCTTCTTCCCACATATGGATGTTAAAAAGTTATTATAATGATTACTTATGCCAAAAACATGTCAATATAGTGATCTTGGCCAGTTACTGAACTATGATGATTGACTTTATTCTCGGGTGAAAATAATATGCTTATGTTTTGATCATATTATGACTACTTTTCCACACCAACTTTAGAAATTGAACTTACTTTTCAGAGCCCTTATTAGTTTATTTAGATGAATATACTAGACTCGTCTATTAAACAATGACCAGGTTGTACGTGACCATCTAGGACACATTTATATACAAACTGTAGTATTAACAACTAGAACTTATTTTGTCAAAAGTCAATCTGTAAATGACAACCCAAGAAACATTATTTTAACTAATATCTAAACTATAGATAACCATCAGGGTGCACCTACTCAGTGAAATCTAAGTTAGAGTCAACTATTAAGAATGCACCTATTCCATGAAATCTAAGTTATAGTTAACAATTGAGGATACACCTACTCAGTGAAATCTCAGCTATAAAGCTATGGGTCATTGGTCATCATGGACAAGTTTATTCAACAAAACTAGAACTACAAATTAATATCCAGCTTGAACATAAAAAGCCTAAGCTATAAATGAGTATCCTGGTAAACATCTATCCAACCATACTTAATAAGTAAACACAGAAAATATTAATTTTAAATGAAACAAAAACTATTCAAAATGTTAAAAGAGATCGTATAATAATTGCATACTTACCAGTCACAATTACCTCTCTTTGTTCTGGGTGTTCCTTGTCAAAAGTTTCTTTCCACATCTTTACTTCCCTTTCAAAATCCTATAGTTTAAGTATGAAAGTAATCATAAATATGACACAAAAATTAAGGTAATTAATTTTGTAATACATATTGCAAAATCTGTAATTCATACACAAACATCAAAGCAAATATGACAGAGTTATGATGGTACTGTGATCTGTCATTGCTAGTTCAAAAGTTATTTTTTTGCCCATTTATTTCCTTCATTTAAGTTATTTAAATTATCTATTAAGTCTTAAAACCTAAAATTTATTGGAGATAATTTTAAAGCTGTCCATTATCTCTTGAAAACTTTCAGGAATTCTGTGAACAGATAAAATTTATACAAATGTATTTTAATGTTAAAGTGGCCAACATTCGTGCGTAAATGCAATGTGTCTCCACCACCCAATCTCAACATAGTCAATTTTGATACCAGAAAACTGTCTATATCACTGATTGTGACTTGCAAGAAAGTATCTTTGTACCAAATCTCATGTAAACTGGTTGATATACACTTGAATAGTTCACAATGACCCCAAATTGTGTTTTCCTCACTGAAAAATTGAGCAAAAGAAAAAAATTCAAAAGTTGTCTATATATCCCTGCTCAGGATCTACAAAAGAGTATCTTTGTATTAAATCCCACATAAATTGGTCAAAATTATGCTTTTTGTAGCCTTTAGACCCCCTAAAATGACCAAAAATGGGCATATCCAACATTTTGGGTATGTATATGTATGGGACTTTAAAATTCTTAGTACCAAATCCCATGCAAGTTAATCAAAATATGGCCAAGTAATTGCCCCAAAACCCCCAAATTATGCTTTTTGCGAGTTCTGACCTTTCTCTCTCAAAAAAAGACTAATCCAACTTTTTGTAAGTCAATGTGTTGGGGGGTATGTACATTTCTTTTGTGCTAATTTTCATTTTGATGGCTGCAAATATGACTATACAGGAACCCAAAACATACATTTTTGTGTTGTTTGAACTTTCATCCCATAAAACTCTTAAAAGTCCAAAATGAAAAGAATTAAAAAGGACACTGAATGTATAGGACCCTACTAAGTTTCAAGTCAATCCACTGAAAAGTCAAGGAATAGCAGTTGACTGAGAAGTGTTTGGAAGAAAAAGAAACAACAGAATGTCTCTTTAACATAAACATGAGTTTTATCTGTGTGGGATGCTGAACAAATTAAAAAAAAAACAGTATATTTTAAATCTGCAATCATCTCCTAAATTTTCATATTTTCTTACTGGGATGCTAAGTCATGAAAGCAATTTAAATTTGTTGAATTTCTGTGTATTCTTATGTATTTCTCTGCAGCTTTGATTGCCTTAACATATTTCAGTTCAGAAATGTTTACAAAATATTTTAGAGTTCAGGTGATGCCCAACAAATGATTGAAGCTTGCATATTTCAGTATATACGAGAAATAATTCTACTACAAAAGATATCTGTATTTTTCTGATTACTCAAATTCTTAGAAATTTCATCTACAGATAAATACATTTTAAAAATGCTTAATTCATAATTATTATTGAAATGTTAAGGCTTTCATATACAATGAAACAAAACAAATTACTCTTTAATATACATTTTTAACTACATATCATATGACTCTTTCACGCTCTGTAACTAAAGGTAATTGTAATATTCATGATTACCATTATGTTCCATAAAAAATATAGAGGAATGAGAGTAAACCACTGTATTTGACTATTGAATCAATTAAATTTTGACACATGTAACATTAACCAATGAAAATACATATCCATTCATCATGAGCACTAACAGCAAGACATTTATAATTACTGTCCAATGTTTTTGTAACTACCTAACACTGAATCTATAAAATGTAGGATACTTGATATTTTCAAACTAGAAAACATTTACTGGATCATGTTACATTCTTCTTATTAAAGAAGTCTGTATATTCTGCATTAAGTTGCTAAACTGCACATAAAAAAAACATAAAAGTATGGTTATGTAATTGTAAGCATACTTGAAATAGTTTGTATGTTTAAAAAAGCTGTTAAACTCAAAGTTTGAATGACCAGTGTGAAGTAAGACTGTGCGAAATTATAGTTTAGGATACATTTTGGTCAAACAATCCAAAATAACATTTGGAAATAACCTTTCACAAACCAGCACTTTAAATTCACACAAAACATTTAAATATACAATTACTGGGAGATAAGTACTATAGTTGAAAGATATGTAATGCAATGTTAAACAAAAAAATACAACAGTCTGAGACTTCTCACAATAACAGTTTAATACCTACCATTTCAAAACTCTCCCCATCAGGAAGAAGAAACTGGTTCTTGATCTTGTGATACAGGTATTCTGCTTTTTGTCTAACTATTTTACTTTTCTTAAACTTACGGCACTGTAACAAAAAGTCAAACTGGTTATTTTAAACAACATGTCCATAAAGTTTCAAAAGAGCAAACCCATATTTATCTCCCCAACTACATAAAAAATCAGTTATCAAGTTAACATGTTACTAAAAGGTTCAACAGCTGGAACATAAGATATATCAAATATAAAACAGAATATTAGTATAATTTTTCCTTTATTTAAATTACCCACTCAGTGTTTCCATAGTGATCTAAAGTGTAAAGTTATAGCTTATTTTAAGTTATTGTTAAATTGTGGCAATAAGATTAGGTTTCACACTAAAAGAACAACATTCAGTGGATCATGTTACTTCTTAAGAACTCTGTAGAATTTGCATCATGAATAAATATATATGTTACTGACTTAAAAACAAGCGATTATTACAAAGAAACTTACCTTTCGGATGGTGTGGACAATGTCAGGTTCCCTGCTGATTACAAACTGTGTTAAGGGCAGTTTATCTAGCTCATTCAAAGCTTCCATACAGCGGTTAACATCCTAAGTATGAATTTTCACAGAAACATCATTTTAAAACTGCTCAGAATCTTTCCAATCTAAATTTCTGAAAAGATTGTATTATACTGATAAGAGCCCGAACAAACAAGTTTTTGTTTTTAAATTTAAGTTCAAGAACATCAAAATTGCTTTCAAACAGTGAGGTTCAGAGTGTAACAGCTACAACAGTACGAATTTTAAATGGTTGGTAAAAGATGTGACATGAAATATCAAAAAGAAAAATTTATGTTTAAAATACCATAGAATTGGTTAGCATTGTTCATTCTGTTATTAAATAATTATACAAGATATAGTCAAAATATTTAAAACTCAACACACATTAGTAAACTATATATATTTTCATTACATGTTCATAAAAACTAATATTAAATTCAAGCAAATTAAGGTGAAGTTATACCAATTCCCATAAACTAATAAATATTTTTATTCCTTCATTTAAAAAATTAAATAAAGTGTAAAACTTTACTGCTACTGATAAACTTAGTTTTATAAAAACTAAAATACAATGTAATATGTAAAGTACTTGGTTGCATTTTCCCAATTGGGCCCAAAATACTTTTATTATATATTCATATGTCTTGTTGCAGTATGGTTTTAAGAAAAAACTTTTGTCTTGTAACATCAAAAGGTAAAAAATAAATTATCATATCTTCAGTGATCTATTTAATTCTTAGGGGCTATAATATATATGCATATCAGGTATTATGCCTATTGGGTCTCATTTTGACTCCACAACTTTTGTTAGTTACTAAAACAATGTATCAGTCTAACTGTAGTGTGTTATATGTGGAAAGATATATGTGGCTACGACACAAAACAGCTAGCCAAATTTGCCTGGTGCATCACACTAACATTAAAAATAGATAAAGTCTCCTTTCACTCCAAAGGTGGTTCTTGAGTGATAAAAGGTTTTATCATACTAATAAACGTTAACACACCCTTTTATTTTACTTAATTGTCCAATGTTTCTGAAACCTTCAAGCAGTCAAATACACAAAATAATAAAAAAGAAACAAATCATTATCCTCAGCTGTATAAGGTAATAACTTAACCATAATGAAAACCAAACATTGTCAACTGAGTGGTTAAATAAAGGTCATGTACAGTCAAACAGAGTCAAATATTACTTACTGATTTTTGATGGTGAAAAAAATATTAACAAGTATAGAATACTTTATTTACATTCTTTTACCTCCACTGTATGTATTGTGAAGTTTCTCAAGATGTTTTAGCTCTCTTGCTAGACTATTTTGAAATCTTAATCTATTATTTACAAACAGAACATTAGTATCTTTTGTTTTGTTTTATTACTCATACCTTTAAGTTCATTACTAAACACAGTTTACTGACCATTGATGGGATAAAATGCTGGAATATTTGGTGCTTCTGAATAGTTGTTTGCATATGTTTGTCTTTAAAGCATTAAATAGCTTCTTTGTTCTTGTGCAAATGTAATGAAAACATTTTAAATTCTCTACACAACTTCTAAACAACTGCATTGCACGAATTGCACATTCACATCACTGGAGATACGAGTACTTAACTTCAAATTGACCTCATTAGCTATCACAACAGAAAATACTTTTGATGGTTCCATCTCAGTAATAACTTCTGAACTTTATGTGATGCCATTTGCCATATATTGAGATTCATTAGTACTAGTGAATGAGCATAGTACTGCCTGTGGAGTGGTTACTATAAAATTGATTACTGCTTCATTGAATTATGAATATCAGTCCAATCATCAGATAACACAGAAATATGAATGGCATATCTGTATTATCATAACTTAGAAGGATTCCCAATAACTGCTTATGGTGCAATTGGGTGCAGCTTGTGAAACAAATCCTGAAAATGGTGATTTTAAACAATGTGAAAGAGAAACTGGTTAGTATCAACAAACAGTTAATAAAGTTCTTTCTTTTGGTCTGGCTATCTATGAGTCCAGTAATAACAACCTGGTGTGGACTTCTGACACTGACTTAGAGTTGGAAGTGTTGACATCCTTGGAGTGGAAAGTAATGAAATATTACTGTCTTCTTCACTCATATAATCAATTCTATCATTATCAAATTCAATAAAAATATTCTAACTGTTATGGTGTAGTTTAAATGCTGTAGTGGCAAGAGCTGAAGGAATGACAGCACAACTGATATCGTCTTCACCTCACTTTTTGATTTTTGTTCCTCCTCTTCAGAGTCAGAGGATAGGTAGAGCAAGGGTTTAATAAATATTTTATCAGACAGTTAACAAATATCACATACTCAAATGAGCACTTAGTTCTAACTGTTTAGTCACCTTGGTGACACAAAAAGAATATAAAAGTTGTTATACTGAGCAGATTTTTGTCTCAGTTTTCATGACTGAAAACAAAAGGTATAGAGAGTAACTGATGTAACTGGATTTTTACATGAACTTTAAGATTCGTGGAATATTATGTTTACTTGATTGACACTCTCTATATTTTAGTTTGTGTTGCTCTCAGAAACGGGACTTGTAAGTAAATTTACTTCTGACAATTAAGTGAAGTCTAAATATATATTTTAGAAAACAACTGATCATTCATTTATACCAATCTTTGTATTTTTGTGTGAGAACATAAAAGTCTTATGGGCATACTCTGTCTGAGCTTATGCAAATAGGACATTGTTTATAAAAAAAAAAAAAGAGTTGCTTGTTTGTTAAATTTTGTGCAATGTTATATGAAAGATGATTGTGTTAGCCATCCCTAGTTTTGAAGTGATAAGACTATTGAAGGAAGGCAGCTGGTCAACACCACCCAAGAAGTTTTGAGGTACTCTTGCCAGACCAAATAATGGGATTTTACCACCACTTTTACGACACATCCGTAGTCTCAAAGTACAGAGAGCATTTTTTTTCCCCAATAACAATATATGAACCACTAAAACTCAGCTCCAGAGTCCAGCCCATTAGCCATTGGACTGTGCTCTGCCCACCTAAAAATGGAGGAACTGTTGTTAGGCTATTTATTGTAACTTGGAGAGTGAAGAATTGTGCTATATATTTGGTATTATTTATGTGTGCATACATAAAATATTAGGAAAACATTCAACTATTAACCAAATTACAAGCTTAAAGTAAGGGATAATTTATTAGACCTTTATGTATGTTTGTGATTATGTCATGAACTAACTTGTTAAGCTGATATCTAATTTAATATAATTGTAAAATTCAAGTATTATTTCTAAAAGAATGTTTTGTTTGTAAATCAACATAAATCTAGCCAAAAATATAACATATTATGGATACATACAGTTCAATTTAGTAATATAATACAAACGATAAAGTAAACTTTACAACTGAGACTTCACTGACTTTACACTATTTGATACTTTAACCCATTTACAATGAAGAGCTACTTCATACTCGTATTAAGTTTACTTATACTCTAATTTTTATTGCTAAATTAGAAAAAAAAAAACAATCAATAGAACACGTTATTCTTATAGTTTACCTTTGTCCACTTATCTATTTAGAGGCCTTTAAAAAAGAAATTACTTACCACACTAGCAAGACCCAGGCTATGTTTGATAATTTCATCTATTTCACACAATTGAGATTCCAAGTGAATGTCTGAAAGTAAAGCTTCTGTAAGAACTGTATTTTAGAGTAATTTACTCATTTCTTACAAAACACTAAGTGCCATTATTTTAAGTCACAACTGAAAAGTATTTAGTAAAAACATATATATATATTTATTAATTTATTCATTTATGGATTTTTTCAAACACAGTTACTTTTACGATAAGACTAAATATTATCATCATTTTCAAAGATCTGCCTCTCACTTCAAAATTGTAATTTTTCTATAACACCACTGAAATAAGAACCATCTTAAAAACATAGAATATTTAGAGAAGATTATCTCCTAATGAAGTAAGTGTCTGTTTTGAACAACACAGTAAGAATTATAGTTGTTGATTACAAATTATCATATGATCTTCAATATTTAGTAGTATATTCTAAACTATGCCTTTAATGTTATTTAAAGTAATATGAAAACAAAATCAGAAAACAGCAACGTAAAAGAAAATCAAGTTTGTCACACAGTAAGAGTAAAATATTGCTACACATACAATAAATCTCTATTTATCTGCAACATGCCATTATGTGGTGTTTATAACAGGATAGACTTTCAAACTATTGATTTACACAAACCATTGTTCCAGTAAGATACATTGCACAAAATCATGTTTTTCAACATACATGTATTCTTGACTTATGGCTCTAACTATTTACAGTATTTAAAAATGGAAGTTTTTAAGGCAAGCTAAAAACTTTCAATTTAGTATTCTTAGACATTGCTAATATTGTTAATATATTATTTATCTCTAATAAATAAAAATGGTTTTTTTATAAATAACATTGTGATTTTTTTTAGCTAAAATGAAAAAAAGAGAATTTTTAAATCATTGTGTAATGTTTATTCATCTTTTCCATTTCATACTAGTATGATAAAATTGAAGGCACATTTAAGTCCTGAATCTGAATTGGGGGTATAAACGGTAATTGTTATTAATTTTTATGAATTTTATGGGAATAAAATCAAGAAAATTGTGCTTTCAAGAGTTTTTACAGGCAAATGGAAATAAAAAAACAAAAAATTTAAACAAACAAAAAATACAGTTTTCTTTACTGAAACCAAGTTAACTCATTCTGATTACAGTTTACTTTAAAATACCACAGTAAACAATGTTAGCTTATAAAGATGGGATTTAAAATATTTATTATTACATTTTTTACTCAGTCTTTCAACCTTTTCATATTTCTTTTTCTCCAGTTTAGCTGTCTTCATTCTTTCTTTTTCTTCTTCTCGCTTGGAACTGAAAAAAGCATAAATTTAAGCTTCTGAATCACTAAACATATTAATGGCATAAAAATATTCTGTTCAAACATATATGTTAATTACACAACCTATATTTAAATAACATTTTATAAAACTGTACTGTACTTTATCCTCTAATATTAGCAAAAACACAAGGAATCTGCTCAAACAGTGGTTGCTCATTGGAAAAACATTATTGGCTGAACAACTTGAAGAATTTCAGATTTTATTTCTTCGTGATATATCCAATTTTGTCTAGCATTCTTTTTCTACTCAATTTTGTTTTTGAATTACTTATGCTGTAAGCAATTAAACTTTTCTTGCACACTTGTTTCCACACTTTCAAAATTGAATATATATATATATATATATATATATAATAATGATAATGTGAACAGTACTTACAATTACCTTACAATCACTTTCATTGTAATAATTTCTATAAAACATTGCTACATATGTATACAAACACTGTGAATATGAAAAGTGTTCACATATTTCTACCTAATCACAATATATTAAGTAACCAACCAGGAGTTTTTGAGCTATTTACAAGTTAATCTTTAAAACATCATGATCATAACCTACAATAGTGAAATTTGTTAAATCTTATAAACAAAAGGAGATGTTTTATTGCGAAACAGATTATTCACTAATGTCTCCTAAATTACACAAGATGTTGACTCTAAAGCCAGCATCTCCATTGTCCAAATAATGTCTGAGCTTATCTGTAACAGTTTTGTGCAAATATTTTGCACATTTGATGTCAACATCTTAGTAAATTAAAGATTAAAATGAAGCAACAGACACAAAAATAATTCATCTGAAAAACATATATTATGCTATAAAATTATAAGTACTTATTAATTATGTAGTATTTAATTTTATTATATATGTATGTGTGTGTGTGTGCATATATATCAAATGCATGCTTATAAAAATAATCCTATAAAACTTACATATTAGAATTTATCAACCTTTACATGATATTCTGTTACATTCCTGATGTATGACTTAATAAAACAAGAAACTTACATTTTTTGCTGAATTTTCTCCCAGTGATTATCTTTCAAATCTCTGTCCATGTCTTTAGGACTTAACTGAAAGTAAAAAATAAGCTGAAGTTGTATAATATTTTGCATTGTATTTTTTATACACAACTCCATTGAAAAGCAAGTTTAAGTTCAACAGAACAATTTTTAATTTAAAAAACAATCATTTCATTTTGATTTTACAGATATACCTAAAAATGTGATTACACTTGACATAAAGTGTAGCATATAAAATAAAGTTTCCTGTTTTCATATATTATGAAATTTAATACCTTCAGATCATAGCAAGCTACCTTCTCCAATCAAAAATAAAAACTCAACCCAATAATTAATATAAGTAATTAAATATTCTGTTAAAAATCATGTTTAGTTTGTGAATAACTTGTAAATATTATGCACTTTAAAACCAAACTGCTAATGTTCTTAAAACTATAGTTTTAACAAGTCTTTCTCCAAACAAAAAATTGCTTCTGCAATATTTACACATATAGCATTGTACCTAGCTTCAATGTACCAAGTATGCAGAACTCAGGTAAGTTGAAATGATGTATATGTATCAGAAACAGTTATTTAGAGAAAAACTGAAACAACGTTCTAGGTGAAGTGGTTACCATGCACAAAAATAGCAAAAATGATAGTCAAAACTCACAGTCTTTGAATGATTATAAGTGTGTTACATTGTCATTACTTGGCTTGTAAACAATTGAATGTAAAACTGATGTATATTTACTTTTTGGTGTATCACCTTGTAAGCTTTAATAGCTTTTATACCAATCACTACTTATCATTTTAGTGAAAGTGAAAAGCAGCACTGACCAAATAAAGTTACCAGTGTGAAGTGGCATTTGATTTTTAATTTTCCATCATTATAAGTAATTAGTAACATAAAACATAAGATAAAAAATGTTTTAATGTATTGACACCAAGTCTGCAAGTTAATGAGACATTTTTGGTATGTTGATTTGCTGGCAAGGCATTTGAAGGAACATAGACCAATCGATGGTTTTATGTTTGTTTTAGACCAATCAGGTTCTAATGCTCCTAAGCACTTTTTATTTGGCCAGTCACATTACACCTACATGAACACTTCTACTATTTTGTGCAAGAGGAACACAGTGCAAAAAAAACCCTTACACTCTTCATCTTTAAGGCCAAACACTAATGAGTGGCAAGTTTTTTGGTAGTTTTTTTTTAGGTTAATAGATTGAGCTCTTTCTCGAAATACATTGTTTGGGGTTCTAACTTGAATACCACAAACTGTGACATCCCTCAGAAGCCCACCCAATCTTCCAAATTCAGTAGCATTGACCCACAGACTGGGTGCTAAAATAACGTTTACATAAAGAAAATCTACATATAAGCAAAAAAACCTAAAGCTCCTTTTTATCATTATATATTTTAGTTCTTAATTTTAAGTGTACTTTAAGGCCATCCTAGCTGCATTTACATTTCTGGCTACATACTTTAAAAATATGAGCCATTCAAATTGTTTCAGTAGAAATTCTTAAATTTCTTCATTAAGTTACACAGTTTAATTTGGCACCTTAAGTATTTTCTCCTTGAAGTATAAAAGTATAAATTAATTTGTTTTTAGTTCTTACACCAATACTTCTTCAAAATTGTTTTTTAATCAGACAGTTGGGTGAAGACCTTAACAAAACATTTCTCTGTTAATGCTTTAAATGGATTTGTTTTGAAAGTCTACTCATCATGTTTGAGTTTTTATGCTCATGAATGTAGAAGCCAAGTCCTGTGGCCCAACTGGGAATGTAGATCTGCAGCCTTAATAAACAGAAATGAAACATCGTATGAAGTTTTTTCCACTATTTAAGAAGCAATTGAAAACTTACTTTTTGTTTGAAAACTTAGAAAATATAATTTTTTATTGCTTCTTATTATTAGTTTGGTAGAAATATTTGTTCATACTGCATAGTTAAAAATAGAAAATTTATTAAAAGAGTAATGAACAATTATTTGAGAGGGGGGAGAGTGCAGAAACAAGGATGTCCAGAGAATGGTAGGAAGGAGGAGTATCTCAGCTGGAGGAGCAAACTGTAATATATATATAGATGTGGCACAGTGCATGTGGAATTGTGCATCAGATCCATGGTAGGAAAGTTGTCACACCATTGACACCAACAGAATGACACCACTCCACTTTCAACTGAGTGGCATTGTGCTTCACTCAGGAGGAATGGCCTCCATGGTCTACCACCCCAGTGGCTAGGAACTGGGAAATGACAAGGACTCCCATACTCCACAAGAAGAATAGGGGAAAAATGCACTGGAGAGTCTGGAGGACCACAACACCAGAGACAGTGCAATGGGTGACATCAGTACCCTATTTCAAGAAGCATACTATGTTAATGGAGTGAATCAACCAACACCTGGCAGCATCTGAATTTATACATTAGGGCCACAGTAGGAAAGAGTTTAAACACCATGGAGCATCAGAGATGGGTGGTGATCCCTGTCTGCTTTACCCACTTAAGTCCATGAGTGTATGGTCTGGGATGAACATATTTATGAACCAATAGGCCACAAGGTATAACTACGAGTGATCCTACAGAACACCCCAGTTCTACAGTAACATGATCCTGTGACATTTTATTATGTTTCATGTAATATATGTAATATTGATGCATAGATGACCAATGGACATGGTCAATCAACCAACACCTGGTGGCATCTGGAATTGTATATCAGGTCCATGGTAGGAAGAGCCTCAATATGATAGACATCTAGCATGGTCACAGGACATACAGTGCAGATTTTAAGACTAAGTTTACCTGTTTAGGCACCACTTGCCACAGAGCAGAATTGAAAACATATGTAGCAAAAGGCACCTGTAAAGAAAAATAGACCACATACCTGCCCTAATGATGTCCACCCAGGGAAGATGGAAAAGGGCAGCCAGGGTCAAGGTAAGGTGATGGATCTGATAGGAAAAACATAAAAGACAACAAACATCCAGAGAAAGGGTAGAATATGCCAGGCAAAGTGACTGGTGAATCCAACCCATAAGGGGAATGGGAGAAAAGTCACAGGTAAAAGTAGGATTCCAATGAAGAAATAGTAGGACCCTGGAACCACAGAATGAAGCAGTGCATGTCATATACCATCTAAAAGCCCTGACCAGGCAAAAGAGGCAGTCAGTTAGAATTAGAATGGTCCTAAAGGTGGAAGATGGAGGGAAGGGAATGAGGAGTGAAATCAAGATTACTCCCCCAAGCAGCTGAAATCATGTGCATAAAGGAACAGTCAGGAGCTATGGAACAAACAGTGTGAACCCTGATTGCAAACACTTTGGAAAGATGGTGACCAGATGCCAACAATATGAGGAACAGGGATGGCAAAGAAAAGTAATATAACAGACATGATGACAAAGGTTCAAATGAAAGATGAGTAAGAGCAAGAGGGACAAGATTGAGGTTTCACTCTTGGAGAGAAGCAGGACAGAGAAAATGATCAATGGTGAATGAGCAAAATACACAGGCAGTATATGAGATTGGAACACAGAAGTAAATTTGGTAAACCTAAAGTGGAAGACAAAACCGCCCTATAACCCGCAACAAAGGAAACTGATAGGTCCCAGTCAGAAAGCCAACTGAAAAAGTATGGCAATGAAGGACTAGTAGGAAGGGAAGGACTATAACCTAGGCATATAGATCAACAGTGTTAAGTATACCACCTTCATTGGTAAACTGCCAAAGAGGAAGAATGAACTAGAGGGGAAACCAAGAAAGTTAAGTGCATAGAAAGTCCAGACAAAAGTCATGCATCAAGACCAAGTGTGTGTATGAATGGATGATGCACACGAGAGTGTGGCTGATGAAGTAGTGTGGGAGATGTTGGCAGAGGAAGGAGAGGCAACACCTAAAGCCATCCCACTATGGAAACCATGTAAGAGCCAGCCAATACAGTGCCATCAGCAGAACTTGACATGGAGTGGTCTGAACTATTGATAGGACACAAATAGGAGAATATGCATAGAGGTAACAATCTATCCAATCCTGATTGAGAGCATCCACTGCTTCCACCAATGGATGAAGAACATGAGACCAAAAATGGGGAAGGTGTATATCAAGATGAGAGGCAAAAGTATCCAAAGCAGGGACTCCCCAATTGCACACAACACCCAAAAAAATGAGAGGGTCCAAAGACTACCTCGTCGGTAGAATCTTGTCCAAATGGGTTAACCGATCCTCAACATGATTCCAGGCACCCATAATAAGACATGCCAACAAAGTGATATGATGGTAGTGGGCCCAATATAGAAGATCCAAAATTCAAAAATAAAGATCTCTTGACAGGGTGATGTTAGACATTGTCAGAGGTGATTATCATCACCTGGTCCATAAGAGCCAGTAGAACAGTAAGTACTGCTTGATGAACAACAATAAGTTCCAAGAGATGGATATGGAGCATGGAATTGAAAAGATTTCACTGCCCCGAAACCTCCCAAGTGTCGAAAAATGCACCCCAAATGGAAAAAGAAGCATTTGTAAAAAGGTGATAATCTGGATGAAGAGGAGGAAGAGGAAACTTCCACAGTAATATTGGTCTGATCAAACCACTAGTCAAACTCGGACTGTAAGTGAGATGATAGAGTAAGAGAATCCTCCAAGGGAACCAAACAAGGCACCAGTGGTCAAACAAAGCCCAATGAAGAAGGCTCATGTTGGTACCATCAAGAGGAACAAGGGCTTCAAAAGAAGTCCATTTTCCCAAAAGAGATAGAACCACAAGTGCAGAAGAAAAGGGAGAATAGAAAGCACCACATACAAGATGTTTCATAGCTCTCAACTGAAGGGGAGAAGGCTGGTCCTGACAAAGAATGAGGTGAGAAACACACCAGGAAGAGCCAGAAACTGACAAGTGTTAGAAATGACTTCCCTACCTTGATAAGCCAACCCACCCAGGCATCTTCTTGGAGAAGAAACTGAGTATGTAGGGCAAAGTTGACCTGTGAGGAAGCTAGAAGTAGACAGTTGTCCATGCAATGGTGTAAATGAAGGCCCCAGGAATGAAGCAGTCAAGCAAAGGTCCCACCCATTTGGCAGAACACATAGGGAGCCAAGGCAAGTGTGAACATAAAAGCCCAAACTGCAACTCACACCCACCATCAACCCTAGACTTCAAAGAGTTGGAAAAAAAAACCCAAACACCTCTTGATGTAAAGAAAGGTGCCATGCACAATTCCAACAAAGAAGAGGAGGGTAAACGAATCCTAGATAAAACAGTATCCTCACCTAGAAGAACCTAATAGTAGAGCAGCCTGCAAACCTATTTACCAACAGTGATAATCTGTTTAATCCAAAAAAAATTTATATGAAAAGTTAGAGACCACAAATTATGACAACTTGTGAAAAGTGCAAAATAACACTGAATATAATTTTTAACAATATATTAATTATTTCTTGGGAGTTTTATTTGAATTATATTTAATAATCAACATTATTTGAAGCTGCTATGCTGTCTAAGTGAAGTAATATTTGATAACATGTAATAATAAATGCAAGTTGATTTCTTATAAGTAGTAAATTAAAGCCTATATACTGTATTATTTAAGTATTCTATATTTCAGCTACATTCAACATGGTAATCAAAATTCTAATAAAATAAATGCAGTTGAGTAGCATCTCAGAACTGACCACGTAATGCCCATAATATCTTTTTGTTGACCCATTATCATTCACATATTTTTATAATAAACAAAAAGACATCAATCATATAAATTTAAATCTAGGAACTTTTAAAACTCACTTTATCCTTTAAACTTTCAGTCTTTTCTTGATCTTTTGCTCTGGTCTCATATCTTGAAATGTCTTTACTTTCAGTTTTTGCATGAGGATTATTCAATGATTTGTCCTTTCCTTCCTTTCTTGAGCTGTTCTTCCCTTCTGGAGGATGTTTAATTATCGATTTCTCTCTTGATTTTGTATCCTGGCTTGACTTATCTTTGTTTCTTGTTTCTGAAGTAAATTTATCTGGGGACTTTTCTTTCACTCTTGTTTCCTGCCTTGAAATGTTTTTGATTTGAGATTCTAGAGAATCTTTGACTGTCGATTTATCTTTGACTCTTGTGCTTTCTCTAACTTTTATTTCTGAGTGGTTTCTATCAGTGGGTTTATCTTTTGCCCTTGTTTCATATTTTGTAGTATTTTTGCTTTCTTCATTTGTAGATTGTTTATTTACAGACTCCTCTTCATTATCTAGTTTCTCAGTTGGTTTTCCATGTTGGTTCTTGGCTATTCTGCCTTTCCTATTAAATTTGGGAGAATCTGGTCTTCTTATGTTTTTTCTTGTCTCTTTTAATCTGACAGTTGCTTCTGGCTAATTAGAAAAAAAACAGGTTTAATAAAAGATATTTATAGAAATATTTGCTACAAGATAAAGTATTCCCCAGGATTTCCAATAATATAAATATTGTGTAACAATATAGCTTAGAACTTTTCTGCTCTTTGCATCAGTAACTACATTTTTCACAATATGCCTCTACACAACATGGTAGGTAGTTAATAGTTTTCCTATGATAGGTGACTGTTGTTGGCATATTTTTTTTATCTCAAATCAGTTGGTAAATGGATTTGAAGTTTTCCGAGATGACATACTAGCTTTAGTGAACCTCATTTCTGCTCAGCAAGTTTATTTTTGTTGTCCATAAATTGTCCATATTCTCAGATAAGACTTGTTTATCCTTCACTTATGTGTTCCTCAGTAATGTGTAAATGAAGACAGAATTGTAAATTTTTTTTGTCGAAGAGTTAGCTCCATCGGGAACCTGATCCACCAAACTAAAAATGTGTATTCATGACCCGTTTGCTTGGTGATTATTAATTTCAAAAGTGAGAAAAAGATTATATAATGTCCAAACTTTCTTTCTGCTTTAGCCACTGAATACTATATGTTTATCATGATCAGAAATTATGTGATTGTAAATCTTGTTTTCCTTTCAATATATTTTTAAGCTGGCTTGACTAGTTTTTACAACTTTAGTCATAAAAATTAATACACAAATTTAGTTTTAAACTGTCAATTATTCTATGATCTCAGCATTTTCATTAATTTCATCCATTGCTAGTTTACATACAGGGAACATTATTTACAAATTTTCTGGAACAAAATACATCAACTTATGTTTTTTACTAGGAAAAATAATCCTAATACTTAAATCCTACACCTTACAAATTCCAAGATTTTATGAGATTATCACTTTAAAACACTATTTCAAGTTTCTTAGCTTAGTGTATAAACTGATGCAAGTCTAACTATGATATCACAATGTATATCAGAAACTGTTTCAACTATCTTTTTGAAGAACATACTTCTACAGTACTTTCATTAATGTTATCATCAACATCCTTTTTCAATGAAGTCTTTAAATCATCTTCCAATGTTTTTGGTTCAGTTTTAAATGATTTAATTGATTTGGATTTTATTAACTTGTCTTCTTCTTGCTTTTCTCGTCTTTTTCTCTTGAATTTCTATCATATGAAAAAATAAAGATACAACTACAGTGAAAATCAACCCAAGGCATCATTTCAAAACACTAATTGACTTAGTAACATCATGTCAAATACCCCTAACAACAGCTGATGAGTGCTTTTATTATTATATGAAAAACAGTTAGTAAAATATCATTTATGACATCAAATTATAGACCTACTACAAGTCTAAGGTTTTCAGAACAGAAGGTTAATTTCTGAATTAAGATCTCCCAACACCAAAATCAATGATAACTTGTTTACTTTGTCAAGATCCAAAAACATTTAGCTGTATGTCCTGAATTAAAAGGATATTATGAAATTTGTAAGAACTTTTTATTTATTGTTGTGAGACCTTACCATCAGGTTTATCCCTTAAAAATAACAATGGTTTTGAATTATTTGTAATAACACTAAGAGAAGTAGTTTGCTAAAACCTGTTGCATCTTAAAGGTGGCATTCCACTGAATAAGTAGAAAGTTTTACGTTACCCTCATATAAAAATAAATATAACATGCAAAAAGTGTGTATCATCTTAAACCATAATTTTCTGGGTCTATATGCATATATCCATTAAAAAAACAACATAATACACAAGATTTTACATTATACAAATGAAATAAGTTAACTACAATTTAAAAACTCCAGAAAATTATTTTCTATAAATTTTGAATATTTCAACCTAAACTTTCAAAACATTTTGAGTGAAATATGTTTCATTTTAGACTATTCACCTCTGTGACTTCTTTATCTTCATCTTTGCTTTCTAATGAGGTGTCTAATACTTGTCTCTCAGATTTTTTTTCACTGCTATATGAACTTGCAAAAAAATAGTTAAATCATGTTAATGATCTCAAACTCAGGTATACATTTAATAAGCTACTTTATAGAAATGCTGAAATATTGTGACATGATGTATTTCACTCAGCAATCAACAATCACATTTTTTGTACTTATCCAAAGAGAAAAGTGTTGATTATTCTTCACACACTTAAAATTTATTAGTTGTTTCTGCTAATCACTAAATCATTTGAAAAGTTATATATCTGTAAGTAATTCTGCATGTACATACAAGAGGATTTGTTAAATTTTAGAACTTAGCTTGGTAGAATTTTATGAATTGAAATATTCAGAAGTTATACTTCTATACTCAAAATGTATTTCTGACAGGTACTTACTTCTTTTCACATACATAGCTATTCTTGTTCAGTGCTGCCCCCTATTTACAAAACTTTTTTGGCATTGCATAAGCCTTTCATTCCCATGCACCCCTCAATTCACATGATTTAACTGATTCTTGCATGCAAACTATCATGCAACAAACCTCCATCAATAAAAGCTCCACACAGCCACGTGACCCTATGCTAATCTACCTAACTGTCACTTTGAGTTTAGGCAGAAACTTAAACACTAGTTGACAGTGGGGAGGAAGGGTGGAAAGTGTGAGCGGAAGTAAGTACCTGTCAGAAATACATTTCCAGTATAGGAAAATTATAAATCCAACAAGGTACCTTACTTCTACTCACATACATAGTTAGAATCCCACAATGAATAGATGGAGAGACTGGTGCAAGGAAGAAAGTAGAAGCATCCTTCGAAAGTATCTGAAGGACACTCTAGAGAGGGAACCCTCTAATAAGAGGATTTTTTGTGGAAAAGTGCATCACTTCTGTACCAGGTATACTCTTTGCCCAGATGTGGAAAAAGTGTGGCAGATCTGAGTAGAAAATTGTGAGGATCACATCCCAATGGGAGAGAACACATGTTGGACAGTGATCTGAACCACAACACATAATAATTTTAATCACCCTAATGAAAGGAATGTGGGTAAATTAAGGGATGTGCCCCATGGTGTAGAGTGGCTAGAGCATGATGAACCATAAACAGCAAGTCGAACTGTGTCAAAAACTCGATCACGGAGAACTAACATCCATGTGGGGGTAGGTTGCGGATCATACCATCGAAAAGTTAACTATAATCCAAAACTCAATTACTGGGAACCAACAACCATGCAGGGGTAGGAAAGAGGATCATACCATCTTCACCTCAAGTTCATTTGATCAGAGGTAGCAATACCACCACTGATCTGTGAATAGGACACATGTAAGCAGAAGTGATATAACAAATATATTTTACTGGGAACCCGACCTCTAGACAAATAGAAGCAATAAAGATGTCACTATAACGTGCTATGACCTATTCAAATCAACCATACCAGAACCACCTGGAGAAGGGTAGACATCAGCTTGTGGTAGGATCCCGAGGGAACAGAAAGAAAATGGATATCAGAGATAATGGGGAGGGGAGATAAAGTTGATGAACAAGTTTCTCGGATAAAATCTTAAGAACCCAGGGGATGGTCGAGGCTAAGATTCGAGACAAGCAATCAACCACCAAGGAAAGAGTCAACTGTTGTCTCAGTGATTCCAAAGTTGCTGGTAGATCTCCAAATACTGACCTATGGAGAAAAGTGGCCAAACTTAAGCCCCTAAGATAAGTAGATAGCAAATGAACTTGGGACAATACCACATCTCTTTCCAAAAGATCCCAACAAGAGAGGGACCACATGTGCATAGAAAGAGCTGAAGTTGACAAACGTGCCAACTTGAATGTACGTAGGGTGAACATCCCCAAAAATCTTTCTGGATCATGGTGGATCACCTTGGAGACAAGGTGGATCGTGGACAAGTACCATAGGATAGACATGAGGATAAGACGAAGGCAGAAAAATTGGGCATGGGATAAATGAACAGGATAAAATTAATTCTAGAGAATCAAGGAATGATAGCACCCTTACATAACTGAGATAGAAAATTCTTAGAGTGAATCTCAATATCAGGAGAAGGGGGAAACACAAAATACTGAGAGGAAGCAGTATCATGCCACAAGGAGGGTAGAGGATTATAGAAAATTGAGGAAAAGGATAAAACAGAATATACCTGTGAAAATATGTCCAAAGAGGCCATATGAGATCTAGTTGATCTCGCAGTATGAACTTGAGAAGACACTGCAAAGTCAGGTGGAGGAAAAGGCTGTCAAATGCTACATTATCCCAAACACCAGGAGGAAATGATTTGTTCAAATAGTGATCAATCTAGCAAAGAATAATTGTAGATAATTCCATAGTCAAGGTCCCCCATCTGAAACCTGTGTAAATGTGCTGGTAGAAGATATAACCTCCAAAGTGGTAACTTGAACTTCATAATTCAAAATGAATAACCAAACAGATTAGTAAAAAAATTAAAATATTAAAAAGTTTGTAAAATAATTCCACTTAAGAATGAGTTACAAATTAGTACTACTGGATAATAATTAGTAAACTCGATAAGAGTAAATCAATATGAAGATTAAAAAAAAACCTTGAAGAGTGATTTGTTTATTCTGTGATGAATCATAACATTGGTGAAGATTAACTTCAAGCTTTTTGCTTGCTATATATTGTACATAGTAGTTATTTATGGTTTATTTTGTAATTATAATAAATATAAATTTTATAGTTTTTGTTAACTTCTCACAAGGTACCTTACTTCTGCTCACACACATAGCTATTCTTGTTCAGTGCTGCTCTCTATTTGCAAAAATCTTTTTGCATGCCACAAGCCTTTCATTCTCATGCACACCTTGATTCACATGGTTTAACTGATTCTCGCATGCAGACTATCATGCCTCCACGAATAGAAGTGCCACACACCCATGTGACACCTCTATGCTATTCTACCTAACTATCACTTCTCGTCTGGCAGTGCCCATGTTCAGACGTTCAGTTTGTGAAACTCAAAAAAATATATTCAAATATAGTTCAGAATTATTTTTCTAAGCAAGAACCTTAGATATATTCTAATACGAACATTCTATTACTAATCCTTAAAGCTTATTAATTATATATATATTAACAATATTCTTACTGCTAAAAAGAATGGTTGAGTTCAATACATTTGTGCACAGAAAAAGTATTAATCTTTGTGTTTAATGGTAAAAGATATCTGAAGATACTTTAAACCATTAAAACAACTTACAAAACATTTTGGCATTTTGTGCACAAACTTAGATTTAAAGGCATTCACACATATTTTCCCATTTTCTGATATTTTTCATACAAATCCCACCAGAATGATTTTTTTCATGTCTCATATCAAGCTTTTAAATACAAAAAGTTACAAAAGTTTTAGTAATTCTAGATTTCTAAACCTGGCTTTGTAGTTTCTAATTTATCCCTTTAAAACAAGTAATATAAATTCATTTTCTTTCAAAATTTTTTTTTTTAAATTCTAACATTAAATTTGCTTCCAAAAAAAAAAGATAAAATCAGGTAAAAAAGTTATTTAAAAATACCTTTTTTGTGCATTTCTTTCAGTATCAGAAGGTTCTTCTTTCTTCTCTTTTACAAAATTGTGTACTGCAAATGATTTAAAAGTATAGTGTCTAAGTGTAGCATATAACAATATTATCTAGTATGGAGGATCAGAAAATTTAAAGTAACCATTGTTAATCCCAAGTAAAATTACTATACAACTTTACACTGTAAAAAGAGCTGGGCAATTAATGGAATTTGTTTTGTGATTAATCGTTGGGCTTGTTAACTCTATATGCACAATGTCTGTCTATTGGACTGATAACTGTATCTGTGAAGTTATACATATTAAGGTTTACTATGGTCCTGAATTTACTAAATGCATCTTCACAAAATGGAAAGTTTTTTGTGAATTTCTGATAAAGTATTTCGAATAAAGATTTGTCCGTAAATTCAAAAAGCCTTTAGTGAGTCAATCTGCATGAAAGGTGATCTTCAAGATAAGAATAAAAATTATTTTATTACAAGTTACAGCTTTTACAGTAAGGAAGAATATTTGTAAAACAATGTAACAATCACTGGTGCAATCATTCTAAACTACACAAGTTTTAACAGTAAAGAAAGTTTTAGTATTTAAATCAACATTCTACAAACTAACAATGTATTTATATTTTAGAACTGATAGTGGTTAGTTATGCATGTGCATGTCAATCTGCATGAATTGACAAATTATTTATTTATGGTTGAACAGAATGTTAATAGATACTCATCTTCAGACACACAATAGCTTGATCCCTCATGCACCTACCTATGAAATTTTGTATGCCACTAGCCTTGAACTAAGTCCCACATAGAAATCATGTGTTTAATATGAACTATAATGATAGTCCTCCATTAATAAAGGGCAATACAATCTTTTTATGCAGTAACTCTCCAAGCATTTGAGCTTGAAATAACTGCATTCTTAGATGAGGCAAGAAGAAAATCACTGAAAGTGGGGAGGACGAGTGGTAAAGTGTGAGAGGCGAGTATTTATCATAAACACACTTTCAAGTAAGAAAAATGTAAACTTCAGAGACAATACGTTACCTCTTCACAAAGAGTAGATAGAATTCCACATTAAAATGGTGGAGGGGTCAGTGCAAACATTAAACCTAGATGGTCTCTTTTCAGAAAGTGCCCAAAGAGATAGCCAATGGAATGTGACACTCGATGGTAGGAGCTCCAGATGGACACACCCATTGGAGACCACATTTCATCTCAATCAAGGTATACTCTTCACCTGGAAGGAGGAGCGAGACAGGCAAAAGAGCAAGGGTGTTGTAGGAATGGGCAGAAGTTTTGCATGACCAACCGAACACTAGTACACAAGTGATCAGTGAGCCAAAAAGTGTAGTGTAGTTAAAGAATGATCAGACCATAAGGTGCATCCCATCTTCACTCAAATGAACCAAGAGACAACGGCAACAAATTTGTCTCAATGCAGGAGAAGAGCACACTAGCTGTTTGAGGGATGGCCCAAACTATAAAAACAGTGCCACCACCACCCTATTTCCCACCATAATGTGCTGTACACAATCAGTGAGGAATTCTTCAAGGACCACCACTTCAACAGATAGGAACTGGTAAGTAGCAAGGATTTCCCATTCTCCACTTGAAGAAGGGTGAGAAAATTTGCACTAGGGAGACTACGGACAATGCCCAGATTCTCATCGGATGCCTGCCTGAAACATCTTTTACTGAAGACATTGCAATGGGTAACCAAGAAACCCTATTTTGAAAAGCCAGCAAGCTGAGCCAAAAAAGTGAATAGCCACTTCCTCGATGACAGCTTTTTCCATGTTAATCCATGGAATGTTATGATCTGGATTGGGCAGTTGAGTAAGTTTAATACCACGAGGATACCTCTAGAAGTCTTGTGGAAACATTCCATCCTGACAGTGGGCATTGGTAGAGCCAGGGTAGATGGGTTGAGCACTTTCCATTATCCCAGACCCAATGCAGATTACTTCTGTTGAGAGATAGACAAGGTTGAAGAATGACATGAATGGGATAAGAAGAAGGCTACACAATTGGAGAATCTGTTCCTGTGGGCAATGGACCAGATAAATACCACATGTGAAGATGAAGGGACAACATCCTTGTGTACAAAAAAAAAAAAAGAGAAGTGTGGGGTTGTAGCAACTAAGGGTGAACAGGGCAGAGGAAACCAGGGTTGTGCTGGCCAATGGGACACCACCAAAAGGATCTGACAAGATATGTCACATATTAAGGTGAAGTCACAAGGGAAGAGACAAAGAGGAGAACAGGCACAAAGAAAAAGATGAGACTAGTCCTGGCTGAGAGCATAAGACAGTGACAACCAAAGGATGAGGAACTGGGGACAGAATAGTGTAAGTTTGGTGTTGAGAGAAGTGGCAAAGGCACTGATGAGGGGCATGCCCAAGTGAGAGCAAAACTATGAAAAACCAGAGTGTGGAGAGATCACTCTATGGGTAGAATCAAATCTGGCCAAGAGAGGTAATCTGCCACCAGGTTTAGAGCCATAGGAAATGACAAGTTATGAGATGTACAGAATAGGAATGAGCCCAACATATCAGGTTCAGTGCATGGAAACAAAAAGTTCTAGAATAGGTACACCTGAAGGATGCTATAAGAAACAGCCATGTTATTGTCAGAGTGAATCACAACCAACCAATCCACGAGAAAAGAGATGAAATGGGAGCATGCCCGATGAACTGTAAGAAGTTTGAGTATGCTGATGTACATTAAATGTTCCTCTGGAGCCCACATGGCTGAAGTTATGTCATTGCTCAGACATACTTCAGCCCGAAAGGGAAACATTTGTAAAAAAAATGGACATCCGGTCAGATAATCAGCAAGAGGACGTTCACTGTGTTATTGGCACAATTGAGCCACCAAACAGGTCCATGAGAAGAGGTGAAGGGAGGCTCAAAATTGAGGTCAACAGATCCAGAGAAAGGTTGCGTTGATTCCATAACGGTCATTGGAGGAGGCACATGTGTGCACAGCCTAAAGGAATGTTACAGAGAAGCCAGAGTCCTGAAAAGCAAAAGAACCTTGAGTGTAGGGTGTAAATAAGAATCACAAATCTTGGTGAGAAGACATTCCACTGCTTCCAGGTGAAGTGGTGAATACAGAATCTGACTGTAATGAGAGTTGAAGAACATGTCCATATATATCAAATACTGAGTAGGCATAAGAAAAGATTTGGAACATTTGATTAGCCAGCAATGGGGTTGGAGGGAGAAGGAAAGGAAACAAGACAAAGGAAGAGAAGTGAAGAAATTGGACATGTGTAAGAACTTGAAGAATCCATCTCTCAGACAAAAATGGAAGCCAAAGGCTGATAAAGCGAGACAGATGGGCGCCCACTTGGCCAAACCCAACAGCATAGTCACTAACAGGACAAGCAAGGACCATGACATCAGAAAGTAAAATGAATGGAAGAAGAAGGAGTTGGGAAAGAATTGGAAGGGAAGAATATGTGATTTGAGCAGGCCTCAGAACAAGAACGGAATGGCGAGGTTAAGCGAGACTAGAAACCAAGGAAGATAATGAGGACTGATGCTGGGCCCCATTTGGCCCGGATTTCCAGGGTGTCAGAAATACATCTGAAGATCTCTTGGCAAAGAACCTTAGCCCAAAGAAGATACAGAGATAAAAAGATGGCAGGCAAACATTAGAGAGGAGATCATCTCATCCCAACCAAGTAAGGAGGGATAGAGCAGAAGTAGTACGAGCTAGAGTGGTAAAAAATAAGAGAGCAAACCACTCCAGAAAACATAAAGCATGATGAACTAACTCAGAAATAAAATGAATGGACGAAAGGTAATGTAGAAAAATGGTAAGAAAGAGATGAAGGTTTAAAAACTGGGCACTGGAAAGTGAAATAGAAGTTAAGAGATCCACCCCAAGCAGATTAAACTGACTCCAAAGGTTGGGAATCAGGGAAGGAAAATGAAAAATGGTGTAAGCAAGGACAAAAAAGTCAAGTAGGTGAGAAGGATGAGGCACATGAATACGGGTACAAAGTTGTTCAGGAAATGAGACTGCATGAACCATAATATCAGGCAAAGGACAGGATTTCTTGTAGTATCAAAAGACACTGGAGAAAGAGAATAACATATCTATGAAATCATGTCTAGTAAGAGATTAGAAAGTTGAGGATTTTCTTCTACAGATAAAGCAGTACCTAGATCAAACCTTGGTGGGGAAAGGCAAGTCAAAATTATTGTCATCCTGGTCATATTCAAACTGAGGAAAAGGAATGTCAGCCAAATAGATGGGAGAAGGAGGCCTAGTGTGCATGAAGGAACCCACAATATATTGAACAATGGCTGACATATCTTCCACTGACAATGAGCTCCCCGTAACCACAGGTATTATGATAGTAGCATTGTTGCCATCACAGGATGAAGTAGATGCTACAGTCACTTAAGCATTCATAATAGGTAAGCAGGAATTTTTTTTTCTCTTTAGTAATGAAAGAAACCAGTTAAACTAGAACAAAATTTACATTTTGTTAACTATTTCAAATCTCACATAGATGAATAAGTTTAAAAATATATCCATTCAAGTCAACTGAGGAAAAGAATGAAGTTACTTCAAGCACAAGTGCTTAAGAGAGTTATTGCACAAACAGGTTTTGTCACCCTTCTATTGGAGGAGGGCTATCATTGCATGATAATGTCATCACATAATAGTGCAGTTCACATTCAACACTTGATTGTTAGGCAGGAATTAGCTCAAAACTAGTGGCATGTAAGTCTCTTAGACAGATGCATGATGGATCAAGCTATTCTGTGTGTCGAGGTGAGGTATTGTTTCAGAAGAATCATTTTGCAAGATTTTCATTTTTACCTGCACAGTTTCAACTGTTAATCTTTACACATCTTTCTTCTTTTAGTTCTATGCCATTATTGTACTTACTTTGGGCCACTGTCTTCCATCAAAGGCAATAAATTACAGCACAAGCCTATTGACCATCTATTATGAACACCACATACAAAATGCATGAACTGTGTGATCTTTGAACTCATGACTGTAACTGAGCTACTACTCATTCTTTGTCATTAAGCTAGTTGTTCAAATAAAAATTCATACAACTTTCAAATATGCATTTTAGAACACAAACAATATATCAGACACTAAAATTGAATGTCCCAATATTAATATAATCTAAATTTGTCATGAAGGTTTGTTGGGTCCATGGGGAGAGACATGCAAATTTTCAGTTTTGCATTTTGCGTTTGGTGGTTTTTATGGGCATTTTTTTACCACTATTTCACCCTCTGTTGATGGATCTTTACCAAATGTGGCATGAAAGTTTGTTGGGTCCATGTAAATTTGCAGTTTCAAATTTTGTGTTTTGCCATTTTTTATGGGCATTTTTGTATTTTTTACAATTACAAATAAGGGAAGCAACTTTTCATATCCTAAGATAACCTTTCATTAATCATAAATTTACATAACTTCCATCTAGGGGACTTGTACAGCAGCTAGTACATAATATAGTATTTAAATAAAGTACATGTATCAATGCTGGCTTTCTCAGAAGCCCCTTCTGGATCCGAGTTACAGCTGGTAAATTTTTAAAACTTGCTAACTGATTCATCACTGAGCTCATTAAACATTTACATTCAACTACTGAATTATTCTCACATGAGACTTAAATAGTTAGAATAATCTAAAATAGCGGTAATCAGAAACACTAACTTTAATTAGTTAATACCAGAAATAAATGACCTTTTAACACCAAAATGTTGTTTTTATTTAATCATATACTCAATGCTTCGCTTTACAGCTTCTTCAGGAGTGTTCACTAAAACACGAACCAAAACAAACAGTACAAAGCTTCAAATGGCTTAAATAAATGATTAAGCTGAACAATTTTGAATTAATTAAGAATAATAATGAGAAATCATAATAGTAATATTTCAATTACTTGGATAGTTGGAATAACTGAAAACAGTAATACTTGTAAAACTAATTTTGGCTAGTAGATTATTTTCACAATATAAATCGAATTAACTGTAGTTTTAATTAATCAATTTATTTACATGTAATTGAAGCTCATAGGTAATATATTACACTGATTAATCAAGTTAATCACCCAGCTCTAGCTGCAAACAGGTAATAGATCATAAGTATAAAATGTTCATTGATGTGTGAAGCACAGGTTTTACAAGTGAATTATTCAGAAGGATTTTAAACAAAAGTGAAAATCAATCATGTTAAAATTGACTATATATATAAATTGAAACATTCTAATCAACAACAAAAAATTAAATGCTAAAATGAGAGGATGTATCTTTCGTGTTTTGTTTTTTGCAAAAACGCCTTACTCCAATATTTTGGAAATTTCATGTTTGTTTGTTGTTAAATGCAGAGCTACCCAATAGGCCATATGTGCTATGTCCACCACTGGTATCAAAACCCAATTTTTAGAATTATAAAACTCAGGCTTACCATTGAGCTACTGGGGGGGGGGGGGCAGGAAATTTTATGACACAAAAAGTTATAGAAAAAAAAAATCATATCATATGAACTTTTTAAGCTCAAATTACAAGGTAGATATTACTTAGTAAGTCTGTTTTAAGTTTCATGTTATATGGTTAAATATTTCCACTATGAAAAGAATAACATTAGGGGCTATCATTGAAACCCCTCCAGTACAGAAAAGATTAATACATGTTTCAGTTGAATTTTGTGGCTATGATACAGTTAAATAATAAAAATATATGTATATCTATAAAGAAACTAGGTTATCTGACCTACCTAGACTGTCCACTGGAAGACCCTCTTTCATCCTAATTTGTTTTGTTTTATTCTCAGCTTGAGGAGAGAGAGGTTCTTCATTTTTAACATAAACTTCTTTATTTGGTACATTTCTATTAACAGAGTCTGTTGTAGTGTCTAGTTCTTCTTCATCATCACATTCCTCCTCCTCTTCTGACTCACTATCTGAACTAAATTTCTTCCTTTTAATCATTCGGCCACTTCTACTTCGTTCTGGCTCTGACTTTGACATTTTTTTCTTTCTACCTTCTTTTTCATATTTACTTTTCTAGGAAAAAAGACAAATTCTTATAAATGCAAACTTAGCTGGGTCATTTTTTTTCAACTAGTTCACTAGATTTTATAGAGTTCATTTAAATGTTTAAATTTTAGAAACATACAGCAAAAGAAATTATAAAAACAAAAACTGAAGTGATTCATTTTGCTTGTATAATTCACTTAAATTTGTCAAAACCATAAGGAAATAGGGCATGGGTTGGCCTTGTGGTAGAGTTCTGTATTTCAGAGCTAACAAGCTGTTTTTTAATTTGTACAATGCCACAAAATATTCCTTGGACTTTAAGCTACAAGTGCCTTATAAGAGTAACAATCAACCCCTTAGCATGGATGGTGGGCAGTAGGATCCTACTGACTGACTCCTTTCCTTTGTGAGTGGTTCAAAGTTAAGGATGGTTACAGATAACCTTTACTACGAGCTTTGCATCAAATGCAAATTATAATGAAATTCAATATACAGCATACGTGTACACATGCTTTAATAAGATACCAAGAATGTTAACACATCACATAGATTAATAAACAGCTGTATCTGACAATAACTTCAGTAAAATCACACAGATTTCTCCCCAATTTTGCATTATGATCAGCTGACAGAACAAATTCCATAAAGTTTTATATTATATGCACCTCATATAGTTTAATGATAAAAATCCAAAAATTATGTTGTGCATATCAACATACAGAAGTCAAATATTTAATCATCCATCAAATGTAACCAAAAAAGTTCAAACCAGACGTATATGAAATACTGTGCCCCTGTACACCTATTTCTTCGCTGAAACTTTTGTGTGAAAAAGCTGCCAGGTAATATTAAATGCTTATGTTCATGTCAAGGTTTACTACATGTGAAAAAACAATTTTTTTTTTCCTGTACCATTAAAAACAAAGCATTAATAAACTAAACCTTGAAGTTTTAATTCTTTTTTTTTTCATTAATCAATCAGTACAACTTTGAAAGGTATATTACAAAATATTACCAGATTGGGGATTTGAAACCAGTAACTTATATCAGAGCAGATACAATATTTGGCCTACTGAAAAGAGTAAATAAAATCCACTGTAACCAGAAAAGGCAATATGATGTCTGGGTCATATGTTCACAGTTAACAAAAAAATGTAATTACACACACATTGCAATCCTTATTAACATTTACACTTATGAGCTATAAGTAAACTTTTGATAAAAATCTAGTCTAAGTTAGCTATTCGTTTAAATTTCAGCAAGCAAATATTACCACTAGAAGCTATTCCCCCTTCTTCCCAAGATTACTTTTTGAGTTTTATGCTTGTAACACTATTAATTTTAACCTTTAACTTTAAAGTGTAATAAAATATTTTGAAATAATACAATGCAAATATCAAAATATCAACATTGTTGATAGTATCTTTCTCTCAATACCTGCCAACGTACAGTATAAGTCTAAAAACATGTCACATAAAGCAGCTAAAAATTATGTTGTTTGTTGTTGAATTTTGTGAAAAGCTGCTTCATGGGCTATCTGCACTTTATTTTGAAAAGTTACTGTTGATTTTGAAAAAGATTTGTGAAAGTGTATCAACAATAATAATGAACAAATGGTTTAGGATAAACACAACAAATGTGAAATGTTGCAACTGAGATCACAACTACAGTAAATCAGGGCTGCTGAGAGTCATGTCATGATTTACGTCATGTGTTTAACATAACTTTACTCTAAGGAAAATATTCAACTTACTCCATTTTTCCTTAAATGGAAGAGAGAAAAAACAAAAAATTTAAACACGTTTAGGTAACATCTGATTGATTCTTGGGTATTTTGACAACCTGGAAGTCCACATCCATATGTATAGCTAAGGGTTAATGTGTATTTGAATTTTAAAACATGTAGATATTTGGTATTCTCAATGTAAACAGCAAATTATATGGTACTTGGGCCAAACAAGTAAGTCACAGACTCTAGGTTCGGGCATAGTCATTCCTAATTTTGAGCTAATAACCATAAGGAAAGGAATCGATAACCAGCATTGGTCATCCTTCATGGCTTTAATTAATGAAATAACAGAACAGACTGTCACTTTTATAATACAGCTACATCTGAAAGTGCTCATTGCAAGCTCAAATCTTGGACCTTCTACTCTGCAGCCTGTCCTGTTCACTATCAAGTTAAATCAAGTCCAACTATGAAGGTAATAGAAAGAAATAATTTGTTTTGCTTTTAGAACTAAATGGAAATTACAAAAGAACAATTTGATTTTACTAATATTCTATAATATTATACACCATTTAACAAGAATGAAATAACTACAGTCATCAACTACATTCATATTTATTTTTTAAAATTTAATGCACAGATATGTTGAAAGTATTAAATAATACTTTCTACTTTTAACTAATTGTGCAAGTTATATAAAGTTATTTTATTCCATTCTTTCAAGTCCAAGACCACTTAAGAAATGCCATTTCACAGACCTCACGATTTGTTATGTATAGATTGTAGCTTACAATAAACTACTTACTAAATATTTAAAATATCTGATTTTATGATTTCAAAAATAAGAAGAAACAACTATGTTTTCAAAGAATTGCACAAAAATACTAACATTTTCCATGCAATATATGAAACTAGATTTATGTTTACAGTGTATTTTAAATGCCAAAATAATAAATTACATTAGTTCAAGTACTCTTAAAATACATTATACTATAAATCTAAATGGATCTGAAAATTCCTTTACAGAATAAGTAACAACTTAGAAACTGATAAGCACTAATGAACAACAATAAAACATTTATGGAGTAATTTCTAACTCAGCTCACAATAGCTAAGTAGACGAAAAAACTGCTTGCAAATTTTCATAAGCAATACTTCATAGCATACGAGCCTAGCAAAGATTTATTTATGTAATTAAACACATAAGGATTCAATTCAATTTATGGCATTCAAAAAAACATATTGTAAAATTTCAATTTGCCATTTTTGACATAACTCTTGTAAAGGGGAAATAAATTACATTATATTTTTTCCCAAGCCTATAGCTCTGAAATAAAATTTATTTTCAAAACTATATGGAAGATGCAGCTAAATTCTGCAATAATGCCTACAATGAAGAGCTTTATTAGAGATCAGTTAAGAATTGCTAAATCAAACACCAGACAAATATAAGATATAATTTAAAATCATTAATTAATAATTTATTCTTATTTAGTCTAAGCTGCTGCAAAGAATTTTGTTGCATTAGAAATGGTTAAAAACCTCAATAGTTTCAAAATAATTTTTGCTGGATTTCCTTGTAAAGTTCTCTCATCATTATAACCACACATAAAACATATCATGCTGTAATGTAATAATTAACATTTACCTTTTTATCTTTTAGGTCCAGCTTCCTTTTACGATTTGCCGACAAAGATTTAGCCTACAAACAAGATATGTTTCCTTTAGAATATATGTAATGAGGGCATTAAAATTAAAGTAGGAATATTATATATGTTAACAATGCCTTTTAAAACTCCATATTCGGTATTTAGTACTTACAACATAGTGCAGAGTTCAGCAAATACTGCATAGAATGTTTGGAAAAACCTTTTTTTTTTATTATATAAGAATAATACACATTCTAACAAATCTGTTCAGTCTTTTCTCACAGAAGACATTTAAAGAAGCTTCTTCAAGTAAAATCTTTCTACCTAAATTAATACTTAACTAAGCCTGTTTTTCAACATTAAGAACAAAACATCATCAACCAATATCATGTACAGCTCAATCTTTTAATGTCACACTGTTATGTAAGCATATGTAAATCATGGCTCACTAACCCTATTTATATATATATATATATATATATATAAATATATGTATAACAGTCAAACACATCATTCTTAAAACAGTATTTTAAATCACTGGCATGAGATGTATAATGTATTTAGAAAAACATTTTTTTTACCATGAAGTATAAAAATAAAGTGAAATATTCTCAAAAATAACATTATCTTCAATTTCCAAACATTTAAACTTGTTGTAAGCTCTCATTAAAAATTATTTAAATCTACATTTGATTTTCGACTCCTCATTATTCCTAAGTTGGCAAATCATGTATTGCTGTTTTTCTGCTAGAAGAAACCACTGGTCATCAAAGTGACCAATTACTAATTATTATACCAGTCAGCACACAAAACAAGATGGTTATTGCCTAACACTTGTTCACTCTTAACTCTTAATAAACTGATAAACATATACGTATTTATAGAAAGAAAAATTATCCATGGAAAAAATCCTTTAACATAGCAGTACTATTTTTAATTGAGCATAAAACTATAAAAAATTGTCTATAATGATTTGTTTTCATATATTATTGAAATATATATTTTAACATTCACATTTTGCTCTGTAACTTATTTATTTTACCTATTTTTAGTTTACTTAGAAAGCAAATGTATTATAGTAGTTTTGGTAGTGACTGAAATATTTTTTGTGTTCCAAAATGCATATTCAAATATCATGTGAATTTTTGTTTTGGACACACAAATTTGTGAGGTTCAAGGAGAGTTAGAAAAAAGCATTTACTAGAAAGTAAACAGCTAAAGTATGTAGTGAGTTCTACAAATATATGTTTTTTATTTATATGTTTTATTTATTGTTATATATTTTTCAATATAAGAAACTAAAATGTACAAATTATAAACTTCTCAGCTTAGCCTAACACAAATTAGCTCAAACTAACCAATTTCATGTTTGTTTATATAACTAGTGCCAAAAACTAATAGATTCCACTGTAATTAAGTGCTTCTGATGTGTGAATAACTCCTCAGTTTGGTACAATGTGCAGCAATAAAACTGTAAAATGAAAATACGTATGAAAAGGTTGATATTGTTAAGATAAGTAACTTGGAACTTTCTGTTTGATACTGCAGTAAGTACATAGAAAAAGTGGTATTATTCATTTTATTTCATATTTTCAACTTTTCATTTCATTTCATGATTTCTCAACTGGGTAAAAGAAAGTAAAAGATAAAATATACAGTTTTACCAAAAATAAGCTTTTGATATTCATTTAGGAAGTTCTAGTGGTTATGAAAATGAAATATGAAAACTATAAGATGAAAAAGAAGTATTTTTAGTCTTAGAATGAAAATCCCCATTCACTCAGACTTACTCAGTATAGATTTCAGAAATATATGGACAAATCTTGTAGAAATTCATTATTAACAAACTTCTCAATTTTCAGAAAGCTACATGTAATAAATTCAGAGTTATAGTACGTATAGTTTCACAGTTATAGGGATGGTCAAATTGACCAATTTCATTCTTACAGGGTTAATATGTATGCTCTAAAAGAGCTGCCCCTCACAAAGGTTTTGTATCTAATCAGACTGACTGGCAGCTTCCATCTCTGCTGGTCAATTTGCTTCTGAAACAGTCTCTGACTGGAAGCTTCCATCTCTGCTGGTCAACTTGCTTTTGAAACAGTTTCTGACTGGCAGCTTCTATCTCTGCTAGTCAACTTGCTTCTGAAACAGTCTCTGACTGGCAACTTCCATATCTGCTGATTAGCTAACTTTCAAACCAGTTTCTGACTGGTATTTACGGGTCAACAGAAATGCTGCTGTGTATCTGCAATTGTCTGTAGGTGTCTATGATTTTTCATGTTCATCTTTTATTTGCCAAGATTAATTAATTTCCTTTTATAATACAAACTGCTTTTCTAATACAGTAGATGTATAAATACACTGATTTTTGAAATACGTCACTTTTGATAATGGTTACATATGAAGACAATGCCACCTTATAACCAAACATATGAAGCTTAAGTGAACTCATAATGTAAAAGTATGGCTATAAGTTAAAAAACAATTCTTGGAAACAAAATCTTTAAGAACAATTAGGCTAATCTTAGCATAATTTTACATCCAAAGTACATTTAGAACTGTGATGAGCCATAGGTTCACAGTCTTGTGATTCTGTTGCAAGAATTCATTTTTGTTTAATTAAAAAATTTGCATAGTTTAAACTTAATAATAGTCCACGATTCAGAAATACACCAACCTTTAATTTGTCTTCATCAACACCTAATTTACTTTCATCACCACTTTCTGACTTCTCAGTTTCACTACCATCATGATCATCACATGCATCATCTAGACCTTCATCCTGCTGAAGAAATCAGGAAGATCTTTTCAGAGCAGTATCTTTAATAAATTTAGACGTAACAATAAGAACAAAAAAATTAATCTTGAACATATAAACTTATAGGGGTGGTAATTTCACCATACAATATAATTCTATTCTTCTTTATGCCATGTTTAATTAAAATTATGTTTCTTATTAAAAATGTTTTAAAAAACATGAAAATGAGACAAAACCAAAAATAAAAAATCAAATGTCTGGACAGGATAAAGAAAAAATGTAAGTTGTTAATCATTCCTCTTCCTATGTATCTGGTACATATTATAATCAACAACAGATGACATATTATTAATTACAGTAACTAGTTTCAGCATCATAACCCTACTGGTGAGAAAATGTTGTGATATTTTGGGTATTACAGAGAAAAGTTTACTCTTTTGGTTAAATTTAGTTTGAACAGACCCTATAATCTTCATGCAGTCACTAATTTATAAAGTACAAGTAATGTTTATTAAAAGCTTGCCAAATTTCATAAAGTTACACAGAGTAAATCAAAGTTACAGTATGCATAGTTCCAAGGTGGGTCAAATTGACCAACTTCATTCTTATAGGATTAATACACATGCTCTAATATATTTGTCATTTACAGGCATATATAGGTACTTCATAAAACCTACATCTAGAACCTTTTTCTGTTTCAATGCTATGTCTCAAAATATAAATAACTACAGAGTACAGAGATGCACTAACCACAATTTCCTTCAGTCTTTCTTGCTGTTGCACTTTAAATAACACTTCACTGCTAAAAAGTTAATTTTAGAAGGAAAGGGATACCTACAGCTTTTATCCTTAGCTACATGATGTTTCCATTTCATTAACTATATATATATATATACACACACACACTTTTCAGTTCAGCTATTTTGAGTTAGCAGTGAGCAAACAAGCTAATTAAAATACCTGAATTTATATTTTTCAGATATGTTAAAGTAAATGTTGAAGTACATCTGATATATTTTACTAGGATAAGCTTCCTGTATTACTAGTGGTTCTTGTATGAACTGAGCAACAGGAAAATTACACAAACAATATCCTTCAGACCTTGAATGTATACAATGTAATGTGTAATGCATATAGTTTACTTCATAATAATCTTGGTTTATTTAAGCCTACACTTCATCTGTGTCTTAATTTCACAAGGTCATATTACATGCTGACTTTTCATTTCACATTTAGATGTTGAGCTTTTGTATTTATCCTTTTAATCTCACCAATTCATTTAGTCATCAAAAAGACCAATTATAAAGCCTCAATTATGGCATCAAATTGTTGGTAGTCCTAAGTGCTATAGATAACACAATATCCAGTTCAAATAAAAGAATAAAACAAGAAATACATAATGCAAAATCTTTGTCCAGTTACATTTCTCATAGTCTTTGTTAATTGGATCATATTAAGTAAAGCTATAAGTTTTACTTGACAAAACCTACATATAGCATCTCTCTGCTTAAATGTTATATCTCGTTATACTAATAACTACGAAGTACATAGATGTATTAACCAAGATTTCCTTAAGTCTTTCATGCACTTGTAAAGCCTAACTTTAAGTACATAAGCTAATAGACTAATAACACTAAACTGTACAAGACCAGGGTTCCAGCTGGTTCTTATAATATGGGTTTAACGAAACTAAAGTGAAAAAATCATCAATGCAATTTTCTAGAAAGTTCAGATTACTGAAATCCATGTTTTATTTTTTTATTTATTACAGTAATTAAAATGTCTTAAATAATGTAACTTCTAAGCACACAATTATTAATAGACTGATGTTAATGTATTTTTGATTATTCTTTTTTTCCTAATAAATGCTATATTGTAACACAGGGACTCAGAGAAAAAAGCAGCAGTTCTGCAAAATACTTTAATTAATTCCTCAAAAATATTAGCAAAATCTAACTGTTTGCAACATGTGTTGATTTCTTTATTCACTTTATCAGGGCTGCAAGTAACAGTCAGACATTGATCAATGTCCAACAAAATTTTGAGTATGTCTGACGAAACCATAAGTTTCAAACAAGTTTTTTGCCTAATCAGAAACAACTGAAAATTCCTCACCAAAGCTATTCTTAAGAAGCATCTGATGAGAACTTTCTTTGTATAATATATTCCAAAAAATTATCTGCGGTTTGTTCTTATGTCTTTTAGTCCTTCATTTGCAGCTTGTGTAAATCTGCCTACCACCCAATACGCAAAGATTCGCAATTTTTTGTGGCGGGCTATTCAAAATGTTGCACACAACACAAAATGCTTGCATCATATGATGTCAACTGCAGTTGCCTATGCTAACATCATATGATGGCAACTGCAGTTGAAGGGTTAAACTTCCTATTAGATTTCTTTGTTCTTCTCTACAGGAACTTCAGCTAGTAACTTTCCTACGAAACCCTAAGTTGCTGCTCAAACCACTATAATTATTCTACACTGAAGTAAATACTTTATAATCTATAAAGTTCATCTATATCCCTAATTTATAAATATGGACTTAATTTAGCAGCAACAGACCACCCTTTTAGAAACTACATGTACTATATTTTGTTCAGTATCCAATATTTTAATATCTTACCAGTCAATTGAAAGATCAGTTAATGCTTTAGTTGATGTGTTTTGAAATAATTTTTGTTTATTAAATTTATCCAAGGTGTTTACATTTTAATTAATGCTGCTAAATAAATTATTCATCATAAGAACTATACATATCTTTTAACTTAAAGATGCTAAATAAAGTACACTTCTAAACTAAACAGATTCATTATAAGATCATTCATGGGAAGTTGACAAATTTTACATTACAAAATATAGAAATGGTATATTTGTCCTCACAAGAAAAAGAAATAATAATAACACTTATAAATATAAAAAAAATTCAAAGAGTAAAAGCATGTGCAACAATTAATTAAGGCTTGTGTTATGGTGAATTATGTCTATAATAACTCACAGTCTAAGAGATTTCAAAATGTAACAACAATTTCAAAATTTCATTGTTATGACTTAGTCACTTGTTGTCTATAATGATTTGTAATTTCAGTGATCATCTTAAAAAAACACTTTGAAATAATGAAAATTAATCCATTTAGAAAAGTTTAACTTTATAATTTTCTATGTTAATTAAGATATATTGCAGACTATACTTAGAATTAGACCGCATATATATGTATGCATCTTACATCAATGTAAATATTCCTATATGCACATAGTGTAATGTCTTGGAAACATGCAGCATTTTTTTCATTATTGTTTGACACCTAAATATGTTATGACCATCAATTCTTGTTTGTCAATTATTAACTTTACACTTCGTGGCTTGAAGCATGAAAATAAACCAGTGTAACTGATTAGTGAAAAGGAAGAACTCAAAATCAATGACTGGTTAAATAAGCATTTAATTCAGAGCTAACTAGATATTTCAATCTTGACTATTCAGTTGCTGGTGGTTTTAACTACTATGCTCAAAAATTAATTCAGAGCTAACTAGATATTTCAATCTTGACTATTCAGTTGCTGGTGGTTTTAACTACTATGCTCAAAAATTATGAAAGTAAACTTAAAGGACTCTCACTACATAAGTAAATTACATATACACATCCTTTATGAAGGAATCTGGATAAGCAATTTACACTGAAAACAAAATTTAATCACATGCAAGCTATAAAATAGGTTTGAATTATTCCATCTAGATATTTTTATGAATAATACTTTAACTATTAAAATTAATATATTAGTTTATAATATTTATATTTAAGACATAATGTACACAATCACTTGATAATGACAACTAATTTGAAGAATACAAGATATGTGCTTATGAAGAAATTATTGTGAGAAAGGCCATTGGCAATTACATACTGAAAAGTTCAACTGAGAAAAATTTTCATTTCTCTTTTTTATATAGTTTCATAATTATTATGTATATATGTATTAATAGTTTTTTTAGATGATTTTTTTCCATAAAAATGACTGGAAATACTTAAAATACATCTAAGTCCTTGAGCATGTTACATGTAAAACAAAAGTGAAACATTTATTCCAAAGATAGATAATAATGATGACATCATGCTTATAATCATCTGATATAGAATCCAGATAACTTTTACAGGTACTGTTTTACATTAATGAACTATGTTTCTAATGGCAGAAAAGTATGAAAAGATTAAGTTATATTATTATCAAAAACATTAAAAAACAGTTAAGACAGGAGGCTGTGAAGAATAGAGCAAACACTAAATGTAGCATTTCTTATAAAGTTGACTCAAATATCATGAAGGTTTTAGCGTGAGGAATAGAACAATAATTGTTTACTTTGATTTGAATGGTAGTTAATTTGTAAATTTTCATGAGTTTATTAATTACTAATGCTTAATAATACATAAGAAAACAATGTCAACTTACCAATGGTGTTGGAGGGACAACCTTTGGATTATTTTCAATTTCCCACAACCCTTCATTAAAATATTTACGTTTCTGTGGCTGGCCATATTTTTCTTTAAACTTGTGGTAAGAATAAAGGTCCTTAGAGGTAAGGTTTGCCCTAGAAAATAAATACCAAAAACTTTTGTATAAACAAGAAATAAGTGTAAATGTCATGGAGCATACATACAGAGCATCCAAAGTATGAATCTGTGCTTGGAGGAGGTCTCACTGATTGCAACATTTTTTTAAAAACTGGAAATGGAAAGATGTATTTTTTTGGCTATCTTTAAGAATTGTTAAGAATACTGTTCATGCTTAGCAACCCATTTAATTGAAAGAATATTTTCAAATTCCTCCTATTCTGTTTGAAAATAAACTTAAAAGATGGAATGGGGGGACAATGAAATTGAAAAAAAAGGGACAAAATTGTTCCAATTAAACACTTGATGAGAAGTGGGACAGAAATTTGAAAAACATTATTGTCTTGATTTAAAAAGGACAATTGGTCACTAACATGCAACAAGTATGATTTTCTAATGAGCATATGGTCAATCTATGTGTTCAATTGCCCTAAAATTTCCCGACCGTCAAGATATGTTCCCCAACCGGAAAGAGAAGCATCAGAAAAAAGGTGACAGTCCAGACGAGGCAGAGTAAGAGGAACCTCCATGGTAGTATTGGTCCAATCTATCCAGCAGGCAAAGCAATGGAGAGGTAAGGGTAAGAGGAGCCTCCAAGGCCTCAAGAGAGGCCCACATCCTCAAAAGAGATAGAACCTCTTGAGTGGAAGGAGAAGGTGAGGAGGAGACCTTGCAAACAAGACTTTACGTATCTCTCAATCAAAGTGGAGGCTGGGCCCGACTGACAAGTGAACTGAAAAACACACCAAGATGAACCAGAAACTGGGTAGGTGTGAGAAATGTCTTCTCCACCTTGATGAGCCAACCAACCCTGGCAGCTTACCAAAGAAGAAACTGAGTATGGAGAACAGAGTCAGTCTGTGAGGATGCCAGCAGTAACCAGTTATCCATCTACTGGTGGAAATGAAAGCCTCAAGAATGAAGCAGCCAAGCAAATGACTGGACAACTTGGCAAGACACATAGAGAGCCATGGCTAGTCCAAACAGAAGTGCTTGAAACTGAAAAACACACCCATAATAGTTAAAATGATGGAAATTTTGGTATGCCTGGGAGATTGGAATATGAAGATAAGCCTCTGACACATCAACCTTTGTCATCCACAGACCTGGAATGAAAACCCAACAGATAGTTAAGTATGACTCCATAGTGAACTTGGGAATAACAAGGAAGTGATTCAGATATAATAAATCAATCACTGGGCACCAGTCTCCCATCATTTTGAGAAAGACAAAGAGACAAGAATAAAATTCTGGATGTGAAGGATCTCCTCATTTAATGGCACCCTTGCAAAGTAAATCCAGAACTACCTCCGAAAAATGCTGGCATGAAACAGGATCCTATGGATGGGGAATGAAATTGGATGGGGAGACAATGGTGGGGATGACAGAAAATAACCTTCAAAATCCATGTATTGACAGTAAAAGACCTCCAAATGTGGGAGCAGTCTGGCCCCCACTGGCCCCAACTCGAGAACCAAGTCACCGACGCTGAATGCCCCAAACATGAGGATGGGCAGCCCAACATTTGCACCAAGCTGATGGACGAGAACTCAGGACTGGCAAAAGGTTAGAAGGGGCATGCCACTGAGACAGGAACAGGAGTTTGGGACAAAAGAGAAGCCAATGAGGTTATAGAGTGGTGTAGATGGGCAGATTCAACTCTGAACTCCAAATTGTTGGGTAGACCCCCAAATATCTCTTCCCAGAAAAATAGTGCCATGCACAAACGATGCAAGGAAGAAGCGGGTAAGCAAACCCTGGATAACAGAGTATTCCAACAACATATCACCCACATCTGAGGAGAGGTGTGCCATGGTAGCAAATGGAAGACTATGAGATTTATCAGAAAATTCCTTAGGAAGCTGGTGAATAGCTTTCACTAAAAGTTGAAGGGAAGATAAGGCATGGAGAGTAATAGACATAAGATGAAGACCGGAAAAATTGAGGTTGGAAAAGGAAACCGAAAGTATTAGGGTCAAAACCCCACAAAGAAATAAGAGTTTCCAAACGTTGTGAGTCTAAATAGGAGTAGTTGGCATGATGAAATGCAAAAGCATTATTAACCAATGTACATGGGAAACAAGGCATACTGATCCCCACTCTCAACTGTTCCCCATAAAAGACTAGAATGAACCCCAATATCCAACGAAAGTGGAAAAACCAGATACTGACCCAAAGTTTCATACCCACGAGGGTAAGGGTAGAATCATAGGAAACAAGAGCCACAGACAAAATCAAACAAGCCTGATTAATCAAGTGAACAAAAGGAGAAGGAAGCAATCGTGTGTTCCCGATAAAACACGCAATTGAGAAGCATAATCAGGAGGGGAAAAATGCTGTCCAAATTCTGTCAGACACACCAAATGCTGGTATGATAGGATACTCCTCAGATGGTGGTGAATGCTGCATGAAATTAGACAATTCTCTATGGATCATATTAGTCACATCATCAGCCAATAACTGTGGGATCGACCCTGAAAATGTACGTGGTCAGTAGTCCTGCTGGAGTAGGAACAGCAGTGGTAGTAGTAACTATCTGAAACTCAAACAAAAGGTGTCTAAAAGCAATTATCTAGAAAAAATTTGCATTAAATTCAAATATTCTGAAATTCATAAGCAAAAACAAACATGTCTTAATAGTAAGGCTGCCAATCGAGAAGTGATTAACAGGTGCATTATTACAGAGGACACTAGCTATGATAGGGATAGGGTCGCATTTCTATTGGTGGAGAGTTGCTGCAGGATCATTCTGCAGAAGGTAGTGAGGGTTACAAGGCTAGTGACGAGCAAACAAATTTGCAACAATAGAGGGCAGTACTAATCAAGAAAGTTTTTTGTGAGGAAAAGAAATATATCATATATGGAAAAAAACATCTAATATTTACTTAAGAGGTTTTATAGGTTACACAAATGAAACTTGAAAATTTTCAGATGAAGAAAAGTATACTTAATCTTAATATGAAAATCCCTTTGCACACACACACACTTTGACTCCATATATTCATAGACAAATATTTACAGAAAACATTAAAAGTTATCATTCTGATGGTTAATTTGTGGTTAAGAGATCAATCACATTGATTGACCCTGTATGGTAAGAGTTAATTACTTCAGCAGGTTTGTGCCATGGTTTTAGTTTTGCTAGTTTAAATGGTAAAGGAATTGATTTAAGAGAAGTAGTATAAGTAGAAATGATTAAGGTGATGAGTTGAGATGAGTTAAAATGACAAAAATACAAGCCCTAGTACTAAATCATGCTGAACATCTATGGAGTAAAACATTAAACTAGATTTCAAACAGTTTATACACTCCAGTACACATATCACTTACAAAGTCCTCCATCATAAAAAAAAACAAAAAACTACAAGTAAATTGCAGAGACTACTCACACTTCATAAGTTCCAAAAAAAAGAATAGGATATCTTTTTGTGGGTATCTTCTTTCCTAGTGGTGAGTATTCCTCAACCTAAAATAAAACAAAATGTAACTTAAAAGTATGTAATAAAAATCATGTTTTGTTTGATTACATATATACGTATTTAAAACCAAGTTATGAAAAATATGGCAGTATGCGATGCTTCATTTAATTCTTCTACAAAAAACAACTCATCCTAACTTGTATAAGTCGTTAATCAAGTTCAATATTTACATAAGTATATATCCAACACATTGATTCTCCAAACTGAATATCATATCTGTTAACACTGGAAATTCAACTGAATACCTACAGCAGAATTTAAATCTTAATGCCTTATTTTTAAACTATGTTATTAATTATTCAGTGCATTAATAAACATTTAGTTGAATGAAATGAATTATTAAGCCTGATAATAAACTGATTAGCAAATTCTATTAATTACTTAGCTCTAGCTCGATAAACAGAAAGGGGTTCTGAGAAAGCAAGCATAAATACGTGTACTTTCCTATAAATACTTTATTTCCAACAAGGAAGAAAAAACAACAACTAATTCATGAAAGTCAAATAGATGAAGAAAACAAAACTATTCAGTAATCATGTTAACTAGTTATTGATCAGCAAGAAATTATTAAACATTCAAAACAGCTTTTATATTATTCTTTTAGTAACATAATAATTACACACTATCATTCAAAATAATAAAAACTTTTAATCACAGTTTTTTATTTCAATTTTCCCCTGTTATGCTAATCAAATTTAAATCTATATAATACATGAAAAACTGCTTTATAATCAAACTTGTATGAATTTTATGATATGTGTCAACTTTTTAAAAGTTTGCTGATGAGCACTGTAAATAAATTTTCAATATTTGTACAAAGAAGAAAGACCTCTACTATAATAATCTAGTATGTTGATCACATAATCCTAAAGTAACCTAATAAAAGTACACAAGTGTAAACTAATCAATTAAATGATATTATTATTATATCAATTAATCAAAATTTTTATCATTTTTATTATTCAAACCAATCAATTAATCAAAATTCCAGTTATATTTACTGCCATGAAAATAACCAACTTATCAAATTTGATGTTTCTGATTATTACTGTTTTCAATTTTTACAACAACTTATTAATCAAAATTACGATTAAATTGATTATCATGAAGATAATCAATTAACAGAAATTTGAATTTCTGATTATTGTGATTTTTGACTATTACTATCCAAGAAATTGAAATATTGCTACTGTGTTTGTTTGTTGTTAAGCACAAATCCACATAATGAGCTATCTGTGTACTGCCTAATTTTAGCCTTATAATGTTTTGTTTACTTCAAATTTGTTCAGCTTTGGTGACTCATGGGGAAAACAGTGGCTCATTGTTTGAGTCTCAGGTTCAATTCCCATGCCACCAAACTTGCTCTCCATGTCTTTGTTATGGAAAAGCTACTAAGCTACATACCAATTTCACTAATTCTGAACTGCTGACGGGAGAGAGGGTAACTGTCTAGCAGCACATGCTGCCACTTGTTTTATTTTTCTTTCTTCCCACTTGAACTGCTGACTAGAGGAAGGGCTTTTTCTATGATTGTTTAAGGAACACTGTACTAATCGATTAATGGGGCCATCAATTAATTGATTAACAAATACCACTTATCACCCAGCCCTATCAAGAAAACTGTTGAATTTCCTTCAAAATTGAATGAATTTGGTGTTCAAAATACAGTAGAGAAATCTCAATTGTGGAAAATATGTGTGATTTTATGAACTCTGTTTGTGAAATATTGTAATACTCAACAATATCTACTATCCCTGATAAGTTGTGAGTAATAAACGTTGTAACATAACATTTTTTGGGATATTTGTATTTGTAAATATAAAGTTTATAACTTCAAAGTGAAAAGTGTTCATTTTATTGAAATCTTTGAATTCGAATGTTTTATTAATGATGCCGAGTTAGAAAATGTACTTTGTTTTTGGTAAAAAGCTTATTTCTTGTGAATTCTTGTACACACACACTTGGTTGGCTGTGCCAAGAAAACCTTATTAATTAAGTATCATCAATATATCTACAAGTGTAAAGTTTTAATATAGCCTTTCTTATTAAGAGTTGTTATGCATGAAAATTCATGTTCAAATAAATATAAATCTGCAACTTATCAGCTGAAGTTACCTTCCTTTGATATTCCTTATATTTGTTGGAAAACATGTTGGCTAAATTGCACAAATATGTTGTCAAGTAAAAAATACATATCTTGCATGACTTAATATATGTGATGCAATGATAAAGGATGATGTTGAAGGACCAAATGATGCTTGTTATTAGATTTCTACAGTCAATAACTCTGAAATCAAACTAATGGAACATATTATCAGGCAAACAAGTCTATACCTTTATAATTAACAGATAAATTACGCAAACAATTCTACACCTTTATAACTAACAGAAAAATCAGGCAAACAATTCTACACCTTTATAACTAACAGAGAAATTAGGTAAACAATCCTACAACTATATAACTAACAGAAAAATCAGAAAAACAATTCTACACTTTTATAACTAACAGAGAAATCATGCAAACACTTCTACACCTTCATAACTAAAAGAGAAATCAGAAAAACAATTCTACACTTTTATAACTAACAGAGAAATCAGGCAAATAATTCTACACCTTCATAACTAAAAGAGAAATCAAGCAAACAATAGTACACTTTTATAACTAACAGAGAAATAGGCAAATATTTCTACAC